CTCCAGTCTGGGCGACAGAGTGAGACTCCAACTCAAAAAAAAAAACAAAAACAAAAAAATAAAATAAAAACACCCAGGAATTATCTTTTTGGAGGGCAGACCCCTTTTAGTACAGACTTTCACCACTAGGTAAATGTTTTAGGAATCTATCGGCACTTGCTAGTGCTATGAGAGGCTTTGTTGCAGAAGAAATATCCCAAGTTGTGGGAAACAGGTGACTGGCTCTTCCATCCTGACAACACACCTGCACACACCATACTGAGTGTTGTGCAGTTTCTGCCCAAAACAACTATTTTGTTTTTCTGCATGAAAAAATTACTCAAAGGGAAATGTTTTTTTCAATGTGGAGGAGGCAAAACAAAAAATGACAGAAGCACTAAAAGATTCTCAATAAGTGTATTGCATCAAAAAATAGAGTACACTAAAATTAACTCTAAAAGTAACTACAGTTTAAACAAGAATGCACAATTTTTTATAAATTCTGTTTTTTGTCTCTCTTTATATGTAAACACAGACGTCTGTAGCAGCACAATGATAGTGCATGAAAATTTTCATTCTGCTATAGAATTTAAAGAAAAAACCCATATACCTCTATAACAAATATAGGTTAGAAAAACAATTAGGAACATCAGTAACAAAGTGGACAAGTGATGCAAAAAGGGTCTTCCCTTGCATGCAACTCATATTATGTGCCTACCAGTTTAATACACATTGTCATAAATTTAAGATATTTCATGTGTCTTCATGGTAAACACACACACAAAAGCTATGGAGATAAACAAAAATGGAAAAGGAATCAAAGTATGCCACTATAAAAATTAACAAAACACATGGGAGGCTGTAAAAGACAAAAAGATGGAGAAAATAGCTACAAATAAAAACACAAAAAATTATTTTCAAAATGGCAACAGCAAGTTTATTGTTTATTGTATATGTATATATTTGCCACTGTGCCCAGTTGAGAAAAAATATTTTTAAAAAATATATGGCCAAAGCCAGGCTCGATGGCTCAGCCTGTAATCCCATGCTTTGGGAGGCTGAGGTGAGTGGATTGCCTGAGCTCGCGGGTTTGAGACCCGCCTGGGCAACTTGGCGAGACCTCATCTCTACAATAAATGAAAAAATCAGCCAGACGTGGTAGCACATGGCTGTAATTCCGGTTACTCGGAAGGCTGAGGCGGAAGGATTGCCGTAACCCAGGTCAAGGTTGCGGTGGCCGGGAGCAGCCACTGCACTCCAGTCTGGGTGACAGAGTAATACTCCAACTCAAAAAAATATATATATATGTGTATATATATATATATATGGCTGAGCTTGGTGGCTCAGCCTGTAATCCCAGCACTTTGGGAGGCTGAGGCAAGTGAATTACTTGAGTCTGTGGGTTCAAGACCAGCCCAGGTAACTTGACAAGACCTCATCTCTACAATAAATAAAAAATGAGCCAGACGTAGTAGTGTATGCCTGTAGTTCTCGTTACTTGGAAGGCTGAGGTGTAAAGGATCACCAGAGCCCAGCAGGCTGATGGTTGTGAGCATGCTACTGCACTCCAGCCTGGGCAACAGAGTGCGATTCCAGCTCAAAAAATGAATAAATACATAAACAAAAATATTTATGAAGTAAGCCTCCCAATCAAAATATTTTGGCTAAAGGCATTAAAAATTAAGAGTCAACTTGCACCATCTCAGGAGAGTCACTTTAAATCTAAAGTTAAAACACTGTTACAGTACAATATGATGGATGCAAAAAACAGAAGTAAGTTATCCCTGCTTATGGAATCTCCAGCGATGCCTGGCTAAAAGTGGTACAGTGACAAAGATATTCCAGAAAGATGTTACCATGTAAAAGCTGGGTCACCATAATTAGGCAAAAGCCACTCTAAGTAAAAAACTGCCTCATAGACAAAATACACTTCAAGTATATTCACAGTGGACAAAAAATGCACTCAAAAATGATAGAACAGTCAAGTAACTAGAAACTAACAAGAATAATAAAGACCAGGTGTGGTTGTTCACACCTATAATGCCAGCACTTTGGGAGGCTGGGGTGGGACCTCATCTCTACAATAAATCAAAAAATTAGCTGGGCATGGTGGCACACGCCTGTAGTTCCAGTTACTTGGAAGGCTGAGATAGAAGGATCACCAGAGCCCAGCAGGTCAAGGCTATGGTGACCATGAGCGTGCCGCTGTACTCCTGCCTGGCCGACAAAGTGAGATTCCAGCTTTAAAAAAATGTGTAGCCGGCTCGGTGGCTCAGCCTGTAATCCCGCACCTTTGGGAGGCTGAGGTGAGTGGATTGCCTGAGCCCACTGGTTCGAGACCTGCCTGGGCAGGCGAGACCTCATCTCTACAATAAATCAAAAAATCAGCCGGGCATGGTATCGCATGCCTGTAATTCCAGCTACTCGGATGAGGTGGAAGGATCACCGGAGCCCAGCAGGTTGAGGCTGTGGTGGCTGGGAGCGGCCACTGCACTCCAGTCTGGGCAACAGAGTGACACTCCAACTCCAAAAAAAAAAGAAAAAATGTGTAGCTCATATCATGGCTCCCAAATATATAAAGCAAATGCTGACACAACTGACAGAATAGATAGTAACACAGTAATAATAAACTTTAATACCCTACTTTCAGCATTGAATAATAAAGCGTGACAAAATATTAATAAGCAAATAAAGGCTTTGGGCCAGGCTCAGTGGCTCAGCCTATAATCCCAGTGCTTTGGGGAGGCCTAGATGAGAGGATTACCTGAGCCCGCAGGTTCGAGAATCGCCCGGGCAACTTGGCGAGACCTCATCTCTACAATAAATCACAAATTAGCAGGGCACGATAGCACACGCCTGTAGTTCCAGCTACTTGGAAGGCTGAGGCAGAAGGATCACCAGCAGGCTGAGGCTGCAGTGGCCGGGAGTGTGCCACTGCACTCCAGTCTGGGTGACGGAGTGAGACTCCAACTCAAAAAAGAAATAAAATAAAACAAAGGCTTTGAACAAATCTATACATCATTTAACCCTAATAGACATATAGAAAGAGAACATGCCATACTACAGCAGAATATACCGTCTTGTCAATAGCTCATTTATTACTTTCCTGGATAGATAACCTGTTAGGCCACAAAACAAGACTTACCAGATTTTAAATGGCTGAAATCTTACAAATTATCTTTTCTGATCTGAATGGAATGACACTAGAAATCAATAGCAGAAAGAAAACCAGAAAATCTATGAATATGTGGAAATTATACAATACACTATTGAACATGCTCTTATACAAAGATTGGAAGACAACAGACAATATTGTGAAGATGTGAATACTAAACAAAGTGATCTACAGATTCAATGTACTCTAAGAAACAACTTTGGAGGCATGACACTTTGTGATTTCAAAACCTATCACAAAGCTACAGTAATCAAATCAGTTTGGGCTGTCATAATATCAGACAGATATACTAAAGAAACAGCACAGAAATAAGTTCTTGCATATACAGTCAAATGAAGAGGTATTTGCATACCTATATTTACTGCAACATAATTCACAGAAGCTAACAGTTAGAAATCCAAACATCTTTCAAGTAAGACAATTTGAAATATAAAACAATTTTATTAAATTATTCAGCCTACAAAAAGCGGGTTATTGATAGGACACTTTGGTCATTCCTTATGTCTTCCTTTCTATTCCACAAACTATGAGATTGTTTATAATCATCTTTAACTTTTCTCCTAGTGTTTCAGAAGTTCCAGTTGTTCACTTTTATTGGACTTTAGATGAGATTTTTCTTAATTTGGTGATTAATATAAGACACGTCATGGTTAGATTGTAGACTCTCAGGCATCGCTGGAGATTCCATAAGCAGGGATAACTTACTTCTGTTTTTTGCATCCATCATATTGTACTGTAACAGTGTTTTAACTTATTGAATTTAAGAAGATTTTAATTTTTGTAAAGTATTTCATGTAACACATACAGAAAAAATGTTTCCAGTTAACCTTTGATGAAATGCTTTTGAAATTATTTAGATTTTTTAAAATGTATGCATATTAAAACAGTTCTTTTATATTTGTTTATACATAGATTTTAACTTATATCACCACTGTGGAGCCGTAAAATAAAGAATATATTATCAACAACAACAACAAAAAAACAGGATATCGTGTAGTACCTACAATTAGAATAAATCTGGAGGGCATTATTCTACGTGAAATAAGCCAGTAACAAGAGGCACATACCACATAATTCCACTTACATATCTAAAGTCATTAAACTTCTTGAACCAGAAAGTAAAGTAAGATGTTTATGGTCCAGGTGGAGGGAGAAATGGATAGGTGGGATTTCATGGGCACAGAGTTTTGTTTACAAGATGAAAATATTACACAAATACACTGCATTACAATGTGAATATACTTACCAATAATGAAATGTATACTTAAAAATATTTCAGGTGGTTAATTTTCTTTTCTTTTTTTTTTTTTTTTTGGGGGTTGGAGTCTCACTCCATTGCCTAGGCTGGAGTGCCATGGCACGCTCATGGCCACCCCAGCACTGAGTTACTAAGCTTCGGCGATCCTTCTGCCTCAGCCTTCCAGGTAGCCAGAACTACAGGTGAGCGCTACTATGCCCGACTAATTTATTATTTATTGTAGTGATGTCTCCCTAAGCTGCCCAGGCTGGTCTCAAATCTACGGGCTCAGGCAATACACTCGCCTCTGCCTCCCAAAGTGCTGGGATTACAGGCTGACCCACGGAGCCTGGTTCAGGTGGTCAATTTTGTTATGAGTTTTGACTAGAATTAAACATAAAAAATAATACCTAGCAGAGAATACAGAGTAATTAATCTTTTCAAAATTTACCTTCAATCATGAAAGTGTTTCACTCACACAACAATGATATAGACTCATTGACAAATGTATAGTGAAATTAAGCCAATTTTTATGACTACTCACCTAGACAAGATGAAACAACCACTGACCACTAACAAAAAAAGAAATATATATGTTATAAAGAAAAATGTATACAATCATACAATGCATACATAATTTTGTTGACAACAGACATATTTCTGATTTATATTTGAATTTTATCCCAAATTGTCTTAACTAGGACAGAGATTAAGAGTTAAAAATGGAAGCCGGGCTCAGTGGCTCAGCCTGTAACCCCGTGCCTTTGGGAGATTGAGGTGAGTGGACTGCCTGAGCCTGTGGGTTCAAGACCCGCCTGGGCAACTTGGCAAGACCTCATTTCTACAATAAATAAAAAATTAGCCGGGCATGATAGCACGCGCCTGTAGTTCCAGCTACTTGGAAGGTAGAGGCGGAAGGATCACTGGAGTCCAGCAGGTCAAGGCTGTGGTGGCCGGGAGCGGCCACTGCACTCCAGTCTGGGAACAGAGTGAGACTCCAATTAAAAAAAAAAAAAAAAGTTAAGATCTATACATTAGGCCAGGTGGTTCAGCCTGTAATCCAGCACTTTGGGAGGCCGAGGTGAGTGGATTGCCTGAGCCCGCAGGTTCAAGACCCGCCTGGGCAACTTCTTGACAAGACCTCATCTCTACCAGGCGTGGTAGCGCACGCCTGTAGTTCCAGCTACTTGGAGGGCTGAGGCGGAAGGATCGCTGGAGCCCAGCAGGTCAAGGCTGTGGTGGCCGGGAGCGGCCATTGCACTCCAGTCTGGGTGACAGAGTGAGGCTCCAACTCAAAAACAAAGGTCTACACATTATCTGACAAAGAATTAAAAATAATTTTCTTAGCTGGGCTTGGTTGCCTGTAATCCCGTGCCTTTGGGAGGCTGAGGTGAGTGGATTGCCTGAGCCTGCGGGTTCGAGACCTGCCTGGGCAGGCGAGACCTCATCTCTACAATAAATCAAAAAAATTAGCTGGGTGTGGTAGCACGCGCCTATAGTTCCTGCTACTTGGAAGGCTGAGGTGGAAGGATCGCTGGAGCCCAGCAGGTCGAGGCTGTGGTGGCCGGGAGCGGCCACTGCACTCCAGTCTGGGTGACAGAGTAAGACTCCAACTCAAAAAAATAAAAATAATATAATACCAGTGCCCTGATGACACACTGAGCAGAGAACCAGCTAAGGCTTACCTGGACTTCTGACCCTTGGAAATTGTGAGATATTATCCAGGTGTTGTTTTAGACTGCTAACTTTGTGGTAATTTGTAACATATCAATAAATAACTAATATGGGGTGATAACTGGCAAATAAATAAATAAATAAATAAAAATAATTTTTTTTTTTGAGTTGGAGTCTTACTCTGTCACCCAGACTCGAGTGCAGTGGCTGCTCCCGGCCACCGCAGCCTCGACCTGCTGGGCTCCGGTGATCCTTCTGCCTCAGCCTTCCAGGTAGCTGGAACTACAGGCGCACCCTACCACGCCCAGCTCACTTTGATTTATTGTAGAGATGCGGTCTCGCCAAGTTGCCTGGGCGGGTCTCGAATCCACGGGCTCAGGCAATCCACTCACCTCAGCCTCCCAAAGGCACGGGATTACAGGCTGAGCCACCGAGCCCAGCTTAAAAATAATTTTCTTAAATATGCTCAATTAGTAAAACATGACACAGATAGAATCCCTCCTAAAAAACTAGGAAAATGATGTATGAAGAAAATCAGAATATCAGTAATGAGGTAAAACTGTTTTGTTTTTTTTTGAGTTGAAGTCTCACTCTGTCGCTTAGGCTGGAGGGCAATGGCTGCTCCCGACCACCGTAGCTTGGACCTGCTGGACTCCGGCGATCCTTCCTCTTCAGCCTTCCAGGTAGCTGGAACTACAGGTGCACGCTACCACGTCCGGCTAATTTTTTTGATTTATTGTAGAGATGAGGTCTCGCCAAGTTGCCCAGGTGGGTCTCGAACTTGCATGCTCAGGCAATTCGCTCACCTCAGCCTCCCAAAGCACGGGATTACAGGCTGAGCTACCGAGCACGGTCTGTAAAACTGTTTTTTAAAAAACCTGTAGGTACTGTAGAAATGAAGAATACAATAACTGAGTTGAAAAAAATTCACTGGAGGGGCCTAATAGCTTTAGGCAGAAAAATAAATCATAAAATTAAAATCATCATTTATAAATATTTACTCAGGAAAACAAAATGAATAAAAATGACATAAAATGCATATATATTATGGGGATTATTGGACAGTGTCAAGTAGACCAATATTCTGATGCTAAGATGCCACAATCTATTTTTTACAAAATATTTTTGATTCCTGATTGGTTGAATTCACAGATGCAGAATTTACAGACATGGATACAAATGTACTAGATCTAGAAAAACTGGTTCAAAGAAAAGGAAAAATAAAGACTTAATAAGATAAACAAAAGCTAAGAGTGTCACCACTAGAACTGATCTACAAGAAATGCTAAAGGGAGTCTTTTCTATTGAGAGATGAAGCAGGTCGGGCTCAGTGGCTCAGCCTGTAATCCCAGCATTTTGGAAAGCCGAGGAGAGTGGATTGCCTGAGTCCACGTGTTTGAGACCCACCTGGCCAACTTGGCAAGATCCCGTCTCTACAGTAAATAAAAATTAGCCAGGTGTGGTAGCACGAGCCTGCAGTTCCGGCTACTTGGAAGGCTGAGGCAGAAGGATCGCTGGAGCCCAGCAGGTCAAGGCTGTGGTGGTTGGGAGTGTGCCACTGCACTCCAGTCGGGGCAAAAGAGTGAGACTCCACCCGCCTAAAAAAATTCACATATTAAGCATGCACATACATAAAACATGTATATGAATGTGTGTATATAGAAGTGTATATACATCTAAGTTTCATAATAAGTAAAAGAAAATTATAAAATGTTTTAAGATACAAGGAAATGTGACAATTTAACATATGTTTACCAATGTTCTAAGTGATATAGTATGCTTAAGAACTTTGGGCATATAGAGTCTAAACTACCAATCTCAGTTTTTTTGTTTTTTTTTTTGAGTTAGAATCTCACTCTGTCGCCCAGACTGGAGTGCAGTGGCTGCTCCCGGCCACCACAGCCTCAATCTGCTGGGCTCCCAGCGATCCTTCCACCTCAGCCTTCCAAGTAGCTGGAACTACAGGTGTGCGCTACCATGCCCGGCTAATTTTTTGATTTGTTGTAGAGATGAGGTGTCATCACGTTGCCTAGGCGGGTCTCGAACCCGCAGGCTCAGGCAATTTACCAATCTCAGTTTATATTAAAAAAATTTATTGTAGGCCAGATGCGGTGGCTCACACCTATAATCCCAGCACTTTGGGAGGCCAAGGTGAAAGAACTGCCCAAGCTCACGAGTTCAAAACCAGCCTGGGCAAAATGGTGAAACCTTACCTCAATAAATCAAGAAAAATTAGCCATGGGGGCATGGGCCTGTAGTTTCAGCTACCTGGAAGGCTGAGGCAGAAGGATCACCTGAGCCCAGCAGGTCAAGGTTGTGGTGGCCATGAGCATGCCACTACACACCAGCCTGTGTGACAGAGTGAGATTTTGACTCAAAAAAAAAAAAAAAAAAATTAGCCGGGCTCAGTGGCTCAGCCTGTAATCCCGCGCCTTTGGGAGGCTGAGGTGAGTGGATTGCCTGAGCCCGCGGGTTCGAGACCTGCCTGGGCAACTTGGGGAGACCTCATCTCTATAATTTAAAAAAAAAAATTAAAGTAAAATAACTTTAGGTTACCTTAAACTTAGGAAAATAGCTTGTGTTCTGATAAAATGATTTAATATACATTTTTATAGAATCACATTTGAAACCTCCCTAGCACAGGAAATCATAAAATAGAAAACATATAACATCCATACATGGTGTTATGTTTCTCAACCAAATAACAAAATCACCACTACTCTCACAAATTTCAGACATAGCAGAAAGAGAACTGAAAGAATAATTTAACACCATTTCTAAAAAGTAAGCAGATATCCTCATTTCCCTGAAAGCAACATAAGAAACCCTGGCACTGTGGATCACATCTATAAGCCCAGCACTTTGGGAGGCCGAGGTGAGAGGCTTGCCTGAGATCATGGGTCGAGACCAGCCCTGGTAACTTGGTGAGACCTCATTACTACAATAAATCAAAAAATTAGCTGGCAGTGGTGGCGCATGCCTGTAGTTCCAGCTACTTAGAAGGCTGGGGCAGAAAGATCGCCTGAACACAGCAGGTCGAGGCAGCAGTGGCTGTGAGCATGCCACTGTACTCCAGCCTAGGCAACAGAGTGAGACTCCAACTAAAAACTAAATAAATAAATAAACAAATAAATGAATGAAAAGAAAATCAACAGAAGAGCAGTCAGATCATGCAGTCCCTTACAAACAATTAAGAGGACTTCAATTTCCACCTTAACCTTGAAAGAGAATAATGGAAGGGGAAGTAGAGTTTCTGAGAATTTCAGAGAGTAAGAGTCCCTAGGTGAGAGCAACAGAAAGAATCCTAGGTTTCTCAGAAACTGTTTCCATTGGAGCAGACCACCTTCCCAAACCACATTTCAAGTTCTGTTTTTTCCTTGACCTGTGTTATCTGATTCATTCACTCCCACCTACCTAGGGGTTTGGCCAATGTGCTGTATCTCTTCACACTCCAGGGCTCTTTCCTTTGCTCCAGGCAAGTGATCAGGTCTGGCTTAGAGACAGCAAGGCCTGTTTTAGTTGAAAAAAAAAAGTCACTAAACTCTTGCTGGGATTCTCCAATTACAAACCTAACACTGTGCTCAGTAGAGAACATATTATATAAGATACTAGAAAATTAATCCCCAAATATTGTTTCCCAACAGAACCTTTAAAACATTTAGGAAAAATTTTAAATATGTGGATTCTTAGCTCAGTACTAGATAAGCAAAAATTGATGGTAGCAGTTGGATTTTAGGGCAAATATATTTTATGCCACTAAATTTCTGAATTTATGACTAATACAGAGTGAAGAATACAGATCGATTCAAAATAGAGAAAGGTTCATGTCAAAATGAAACATCTTTAATTTTTTCTTTTCTATGCCAAGTCACCAAGTTTTCCCTGAAAGCAGGAAACTCACTCGTGCAAAGCAGAAACTCTCAAAAAACATTCTACAAAAAAACACAAAACCAGCCGGGCTCGGTGGCTCAGCCTGTAATCCTGTGCCTTTGGGAGGCTGAAGTGAGTGGATTGCCTGAGCCCGCGGGTTCGAGACCCGCCTGGACAGCGAGACCTCATCTCTACAATAACTCAAAAAAATCAGCCAGGCATGGTAGCGCATGCCTGTAATTCCAGCTACTTGGAAGGCTGAGGCGGAAGGATCGCCGGAGCCCAGCAGGTCGAGGCTGCGGTGGCCGGGAGTGGCCACTGCACTCCAGTCTGGGCGACAGAGTGAGACTCCAACTCCAAAACAAAACAAAACAAAACAAAACAAAACAAAACAAAACAAAACAAAACAAAACACACCATGAAATTCTTAATATGGAATAGGAATTGTGTGTTGAAATTATCCTCACCCAGGGAAACTAGGTTTCTGTGGTTCTCCAGCATCACATTCCTGTACAAAATCCGTTGAGTAGGGTCCAGGCATTCCCACTCCTCTGGAGAGAATTCTATGGCCACATCCCTGAATGTCAACAGCCCCTGAAAACAACACCACATATTTACCACAGGCAAATTCTTAATTTAACTCTAAGTTAGCCAGGCTCGGTGGTTCAGCCTGTAATCCCACACCTTGGGAGGCTGAGGTGAGTGGATTGCCTGAGCCCGCAGGTTCAAGACCCACCTGGGCAACTTGGCGAGACCTCATCTTTACAATAAATCAAAAAATTAGCCAGGCGTGGTAGCGCGTGCCTGTAGTTCCGGCTACTTGGAAGGCTGAGGCAGAAGGATCGCCGGAGCCCAGCAGGTCGAGACTGCGGTGGCCGGGAGCATGCCACTGCACTCCAGTCTGGGTGACAGAGTGAGACTCCAACTCAAAAAGAAAAAACTCTAGGTTAAACAAGAGAGTGAGGTTCTAACTTATTGGAAAATGAAGGCTCTCATCTCTCTTTACTAGTCTAATAAACATCTCTGAGAAAAACCCAGACTCTGTCACTTGGTAGTTTGACAAAATATTCTCCTTGGGCCAAAAGTATTGGCATCACTGGTTAAGCATGTTAGAAATGCATAAATTCTGGACTAGAATTATCCAATAAGATGACTTTTAACAGAAATATTCTCTAATGTATTCTTTAACTCTGAGGAAAAAAAAAAAATCGACGGACTAAGATCTACTTAGCCAGTGTAGATACTATAGTTTTGTGAATGATAACAGCAAAAAATTTGGGTACCAACACAAGCTTGTATACTTTTTAGTACTATATTTACATTTCACACAGGATAATTTATTATGTTGCTCAGATGAAAAAAAAAAACTGAGTTAGCCTGTCCCCCTCAAATTTTAATGTAACCATGAATATGGTAAAATGCAGATTTTGATTCAGGAGATCTGAGGTAAAGCCTGAGTTTCTGAATTTTTTTTTTTTTCCTGGGTACTCACTGTTGCCCATGCTGGAGTGCTGGAGTGCAGTGGCACAATCACGGCTCACAGCAACCTTGACTTCCTGGGCTGAAAAGATTACCCTCCTCAGAGTCCTGAGTATCTGGGACTACTGGCACATACCACCACACCTGGCAAATTATTTTAATTTTTTTTTTTTTTGTAGAGATGAGGTCTGGCTATATTTCCTAGGCTGGTCTTGAACTCCTGGGCTCAAGGGATCCTCCTGCCCCAGTCTGCTAAAGTGCTAGGATGACAGGTGTGAGCCACTGTGTCTGGCCTGAATTTCTGCATTTCTTTTCTTTTCTTTTTTTTTTTTTGAGTTGGAGTCTCACTCTGTTGCCCAGGTTGGAGTGCAGTGGCACACTCACAGCCACCCCAGAGTCAACCTGCTGGGCTCCGGGGATCCTTCTGCCTCAGCCTTCTAAGTAACCAGAACTACAGATGCATACTACCATGCCAGACTAATTTTTGATTTATTGTAGAGATGAGGTCTTACCAAGTTGCCCGGGCTGGTCTCAAACCCAGAGGCCCAGACAATCCATTCATTTTTGATTTATTGTAGAGATGAGGTCTTGCCAAGTTGCCCGGGCTGGTCTCAAACCCAGTGGCCCAGACAATCCACTCATCTCGGCCTCCCAAGGTGCTGGAATTATAGGCTGACCACTGAGCCCAGCCAGAATAAGATTCTTAAAAACTTAGACAAACTGAAAATACATGACAGCAAGATTTTATAAAGAAAACAAAAGAGAAGTAACTCAGGGAAACAGGCTGTTTCACCTACCACCCAAAAAGAACTGCATAATAAATAGGTTCATGTTCCCAAGCTTGGGGACCACTCTCACTGTGAGATGCAACCCAGGGTGGCTCACTCCTGGGTAGTGACTGAGGGACAACTGAACTGATGGGAATTTAATTCTGGAAGCTCTACACACTCTACTGTCCCCTCCTCCATTCATGAAAGTGCTGTATCCTCCAGGGTCTCAATTCTCATCAGGGACTATAAATGCTCTCCTGGAGTAGTGTAAGACTTTGACCTGTGATGTCTTTTTTCTGACAACAAATGTGTGGAGTCTGCTGGAAACAAACCAGTTCTCCAACACCAATTTATTGTCCAACAATTCAATTCTGTTACCACCCAGAATTAGCACAGACCCCACAATTTCAGGGCTCAGTACCATAACACTGCAGATGACATTTGAAAACCTCATAGACCATCTATGCTTTGGCAACTGCCAACAAATTTAGTTCCTATAACCCCTTTCAAGTCCAATAATTTAATGGACTACTCACAGAACTCAGGAAAACATTTTCTGTGTGTTTACCAGTTTATTATAAAGGATAAAACTCAGAAACAGTCAATTAAAAGACAGGTATAAGAGGCCAGGCATGGTTGATCATGCCTATAATCCCAGGACTTTGGGAGCTGAGGTGAGAGGACTGCCTGAGCCCGTGGGTTCACAACTAGCCTGGGAATCTTGGAGAGACCTCATGTCTATGACAAATTAAAAAATTAGCCTGGTGTGGTGGCATGTGCCTGTAGTTCTAACTACTTGGAAGGCTGAAGCTGAAGGATTGCATAAGCACAGCAGGTCAAGGCTGTGGTGGTCATGAGCATGTCACTGTGCTCCAGTCTGGGCAACAGAGTGAGATTCCAACTGGAAGGGAAAAAAAGATTTATAAGGCAAGGGACAGTGGCAGGGGACATGGGGTAGGGAGAGAATTCTGGTAAATAGCTGTGATTGAAGACACCCCATCTTTTGAGATCTACAAGACCAGCTTACTGCAAAGAAATCCCTTCCATTACGACTTAGGTGATGGTCCCCTTTTTACCTATCTCAAAGTCAGTCACAGACACTACAAATTCCCATTTTCTGCCTCATAAACAATTAGATAAACACTTTTGTCTTCAGTGGTCAGAAAAAAACACCTACAAACCAAACTTTGCTTAAGTTTTCCTCTTTACCCCAGGTCTCTAAAATCTGACTCACCCTCAGCCTGAGCGAATACATACATCTCTTTATGCCTCTCCCAAGAACAGGCTGACTTTGGGGCAAAACGTTCTCTGAACTGGGATCTGCTGTTGTCATCCTCCTCCACATCCTGCCCTCCCCCCTCAATCTTTTTTTAATCTTCTTTGTTTCCTCCACCAGAATGCCCTTTGCTGCCTAAACTCTGAGATGCTCTCAGATACTATAGTCAGCAGTCCCCAACCTTTTTGGCATCAGGGACCAGTTTCATGGGAGAAAATTTTTCCATGGTTGAAGGTGGGTTGGGGAGGGAGGTGCAGTCCAACCTCACTGCTACAAGTAGTTTGTATTTGCAGCTGCTCCCCAGTGCTTGCATTGGCACCACACCCTTCATTTCCATCTCAATGCTGACCGCATCTCCCTGCAGACCCACAGTTTTCCAGGGCTCCTTCCATGACTGCTGTAAACAGATGGGTGCATCTGCAGGGGAGGCACCACTGGAAGAACTACCTCCTTTTGCAGGATCATGACAGACCCCAGCTTGGAATCTCTATGCCCATGTGTCTACTTCCCTGTTAGGTAATTCATTTAGTTTTTTTTTTTTTTTTTTTTTGAGTTGGAGTCTCACTGTCGCCCAGACTGGAGTGCAGTGGCCGCTCCCAGCCACTGACCTGCTAGGTTCAACCCTCAGCCTTCCAAGTAGCCGGAATTACAGGCATGCGCTACCACACCCGGCTGATTTTTTGATTTATTGTAGAGATAAGGTCTCGCTGCCCAGGCGGGTCTCGAACCTACAGGCTCAGGCAATGCACTCACCTCAGTTTTAAATGAGAAAACACCCAGTGCAAAATCACTCAAACTCAGTGTTTATGTCCATGAGAGGCAGGAAACTGTAGGGCACTTACATTTCAAACTTCCTTGGGAAAAGTAAAAGTATGTATCTTTTTTAGACAATAAACATGTAAATATTACTTCTATGATAACAAATCATTTTGTAAACAATCATAAGTGAACACTTCTAGTAGTTGCCATGTTTTCTCCCATAAAATTTAGTATTATACTCTGATAACCAGATAACAGGATACAGAACCGATACGTAGTGTCCAAATTCTCCACTCTGCAAAAAAAAAAAGAGGAACTGCTGTTTTATCAACCTATAATTAATAATACATCAATTAAGTTGGGCTCGGTGGCTCAGCCTGTAATCCCATGCCTTTGGGAGGCTGAGGTGAGTGGATTGCCTGAGCCCGCAGGTTCGAGACCCGCCTGGGCAACTTGACGAGACCTCATCTCTACAATAAATCAAAAATGAGCCGGGCTTGGTAGCGCGCCTGTAATTCTGGCTACTCAGAAGGCTAAGGAGGAAGGATCGCCGGAGCCCAGTGGGTGAGGCTGCCGTGGCCGGGAGCGGCCACTGCATTCCAGTCTGGGCAACGGAGTGAAACTCCAACTCCAAAAATAAAAATAAAAATAATACATCAATTAATCTATCACACCTTCTGTTGAAATTTATTAATTTCCCACAGTCATAATATTACCTTTTCCCAGGTAATATTCCCAAAGCAGTGACCTAAGTTTAGAGTTGAAATCACACTAAAATAGAGTGAATCTATTGTGTAACTAAGTCCAAACTCCATTCAGCTGGTAGCAAGACAGTCAATAAGTTGAGACAAGGAGTTGGAACAGGGGCTGTGACTTTATTTAGGAGGGACATTAAAACCCGAAAAGATGAGGGGCCTATAAAAAAGGTAAATAAGGTAAATAAGATTTTCTAACAAATGGAATATAAAACTAGATATTTAATTTTTCCAGAAATCTATCTACTTCTTGCCTCTCTGAAAATTTTTTAAGTCTTTCAACCCCTACTAATAAAATATATCTTACAGTTAATAACAAACTAAAGTTGCAATAAGTGAAGTAAACTTTTTCAGGAGACAAGCCCAGGGAGGGGCAGAGCTGACTGACACACAAACATGCCTAACCCATCCTGCTCACTTTAGTGCTTGGTGATCATCCTCTTGGGGGACATGGCAGGTGCTTTCCTGTGTGCCTGGGGTCCTTTTTGCTTTGTGAATTCATAAGCCATCACTTTGGGGTGGATTTTTCTTGTCCTTTGGGATAGCTTTCCTCCCTTTTCACAAGTAGAAGATAATCCAGTGGACAGGACTCATTGCTGCCTTTTCCTCTCAAGACAAGCGATGAGTCTGAAAATGCATGGAATAAATCGCCTAACTCAAATACACTTCCTGAAAATTACTTAGAGGAAAACAAAACTTAGACTTAACCAACATGAAGGAACCGTGAGACAGCAAAAGACTAAAATAGCTAATTCCATTTTAGATGGGGGGGGGGTCCTCTGGCCTCTGCTTGTACGTAACTAAAATAATTTTGCAATTGCAAGCCGTGCTCGGTGGCTCAGCCTGTAATCCCACGCCTTTGGGAGGCTGAGATGAGTGGATTGCCTGAGCCCGCGGGTTCATCTCTACAATAAATCAAAAATTAGCCGGGCGTGGTAGCCGGCGCCTGTAGTTCCAGCTACTTGGAAGGCTGAGGTGGAAGGATCACTGGAGTCCAGCACGTCGAGGCTGTGGTGACTGGGAGTGGGCGACAGAGTGAGACTCCAACTCAAATAATAATAATATTATTATTATTATTTTGCAATGCTGAAAACATAAGATAGGAACAAGTATGCAACTGGCCAAACTATCTCTGGGAATGAGGGAGTATACACACTAACTCTGCCATGTTAAACAAATAAAGAAACAAGGAGACCATGAGTCAAGAACAAAAAGATTTCACGACTTTCCAGGACTCCCCTTGCCCAGATGTCTGCAGTTCTAAGCCACCTCTGTCTCCCATGCTTGGATAAAAACAAAAGCACACACAACCTTTAGGACGCCGGCCCCTCAACTTCGCAGTTTTACTGTCCCTCCTAAATAAAGTAACAGCCTCTCTTCCAACTCCTTATTGGCTGTCTTGCTACCAGCGGAACGGAGTTTGAACTTAGTTACACAAACGGCCAATGACCCTGATGGCATGCCCTGGGGATTTTCACCTGGATATTCCAGATCAGGCGACTGCAGGGCTGTCACCCACTAGCCCCTGCCCCTTCTCCAAGCCTTTCCCCCAGGCCCCCCGGGGACCCCACACCACGAGCCCTGGCTGGAGCTTCAGGATTCACGACCCGCCTCTGGCCGAAGGGAACTCCTTAACGCTGTGATGGAGCCGCCGCTTAACCGGGGGAGAAGAGAGGGACGGGCGCCAGGACCACAGACCCACCATGGGCCCTGCAGGCGGGTGGGATCCTCCCCACGACCCTTCCTGGTCCCGCACACCGACGAGCAAAGCTGCCTGGAGGGGCCTCTAAGGGACAAGGTCGCCGCGGAGACAGGACCCCGGGTCCCGGCCCAGCCCCACCTGCGCCGAGGGGACGAGGCCGGGCAGCCGGCGGGGACGAGTCCAGGCTTGGAGCTGACCGGGTGGCCGGTCCCGCCACAGCCAGCTCAGCCGGTGCCATCCCTCTCCCCCTCTCTAGACACCCGCCCGCACACTCACCATCTCCTGGCTTCTGGGCGTCCCGCGTTCTCCCTATGGACCCCCCAGGACCTGAGATCACAGGGCGACACAGGAGGCTGCGGCAGGGCCACCGGGGCCTCCCGGAGGGCAGGACAGAGCAGCAAGGACGATCCAGCTTTGTGCGCAGGCGCAGGAGACAATGCCCCCCCCGTCAGTGTGCGGAAGCCGCCCCCTCACTTCCGGCCCCTGTCTGATTGGGCAGTTTCCACCGCAGCTCTCCTGATTGGACAAGGCTCAGGCTCTGGTCCTGAGTGACAGGAGATGCGTTCAGACTGGGGTTGCATGAGGCAAGAAAGGCAGGTTTTTTTTTTTTTTTTTTTTTTTTTAAGTTGGAGTCTCACTCTGTCCCCAGACCGGAGTGCAGTGGCCGCTCCCGGCCACCGCAGCCTCGACCTGCTTTGCTCCGGCGATCCTTTCGCCTCAGCCTTCCAGTAGCTGGAACTACAGGCGCGCGCTACCACGCTCGGCTAATTTTTTGATTTATTGTAGAGATGAGGTCTCGCCAAGTTGCCCAGGCGGGTCTCAAACTCTCAGGCTCAGGCAGTACACTCACCTCAGCCTCCCAAGGCGCTGGATTACAGGCTGAGCCCCGAAACCAGCGAAAGGCAGGTTCTTGGCTGCAGCATTTTCAGACTGAGATTCCTCCCTGTACAGAAACCTGGCTACTTGTGAATGATCTCATATAATATATATGTTATTTGCAAATTGAAACAATGTAACGTCAATTATTTTAAGGTTAGGATTATTACTTTCCTGGCCGCTGGTTTTGTGAGGAGGCAGCCTCAGTGAAAGGATATACCTGTAGGAACCTAGAATAAACCAAGTTTAGCATAACCTTTTTGCATCAGCATAGCCATCTTTGCTTAGACTTTACCTTGGACAGGCTTTGAATTTAGCACTAGTTAGACATAGATAGATATATTTCCAATTGCCAGGTTTTGGGAAGCGTTCAGACATTCCATTGCAGGCTAAGCTGGCTGGCTACCCCCTCGACAAATCTCCATCAGAAGCAAGACAAGGACAGAGCCATAGAAATGGTAATAGACCAGCTTTCAGCTAAGGACTTTGTGAATTGCAAATGGCTAACAAGTCTCTTGCAGGAAAACCCCCTTCCCTCGTCTCCTTCCATCTAGTCCACCACCTGAGGATCTGAGATGCTAATGTCTGGCTATAAAATCTAAGACTCATGTGGATACAATCAACATCAAACACCCACAGCCCTGGACATTCCTCCTGGCCTAAACCCCCTTACCCCAAATGTCCTTAAATGTACCCATGTCTTGGCCCTTGGAGGCCACACTTGTCTCTGAGTGTCTGCCCCCTCTCCAATCTGTGACAGATAAATAATAAATGTTACTTCTTACTACTTTCTTCCTTTTTTTGCAATCTTGCATTATTCCCGCAGCCTCAGCATTGGCATCAGCATTAGCATCAGACCACCTCACCTCAGTTTACCCTTTAACTTAGCATAAAAAAAGAGAGGTATCCCAGCAAGTTGAGACTGCAGTGACTGGGAGCGTGCCACTGTCCTCCAGCCTGGGCGACATTAAGACTCTTACTCAAAAAAAAAAAAGAGGCAATACTCTCAGGCAGCAATGTCCAATAGAAAGAAAATGTGTACTACGTGAAAGGACAGGCTGAGAGCAGGAAATGCATTATTCTTTACTCTCCTTTCTAAATCTTAATACAATTATGAAAAAGTAGAAGCTTTGCTTTTGGAGAAATGCACACTTTAAGTAAAATTAACTACAGGTGCACGCTATCACACCCAGCTAATTTTTTGATTTATTGTGGAGATGAGGTCTCGCCAAATTGCCCAGGTGGATCTTGAACCTGTGGGCTAAGGCAATTCACTCACTTCGGCCTCCCAAGGCACGGGATTACAGGCTGAGCCACCGAGCCTGGCCAAATTAACTTTGCCAACTTTTCTTTTCTTTTCTTTTCTTTTTTTTTTTTGAGTTGGAGTCTCACTCTGTCGCCCAGACTGGAGTGCAG